AGGGCAGAGGTAGAATAGATACAGCATAATTCTTAAGGGCCGTGAGATTTTCGAATGGTAAATAAGCATTGGCTTCAACTTGGATGACAAGTTGAAACAGCTCATATGGATGACAGCTCATCTCTTTACAGAATGTTTAACTGAATATTTTAAGCCCACTGTTGAGACCTACTACTCAAAAAAGATTCCTTTCAAAATGTTATTGTTCACTGAGAATGTACTTGGTCACCCAAGAGCTCTGAAATGTATAAGGAGATTAATGTTTTCATGCCTGGTAACACAACTGATCCATTCTGTAGCCCATGGATCAAGAAGTAATTTTTACTTTCAAGTCTTACTTTTAAGGAAATATATTTCATGAGGCTATAGCTGCCATAGATAGTGATTCCTCTGATGAATTTGGGCAGATTATACTGAAAACTTCTGAAAAGAATTCACCATTTCAGGTGCCATTAGAAACATCTGTGATTCATGGGAGTAGGCCAAAATGTGAACATTAACAGGAATTGGGAAGAAGTTGATTCCAATCCTCGTGGATGACTTTGAGGGGTTCATTATAAAATGACAACAAATAATTTAGAATATTACACAAATGGTATCAAAAGGCATGGCATGGTATAGAGAAATCTTTCATGAAAGGAAGAGTCAACAGATGCAGCAAACTTCATCACTGTCATCTTAAGAAATTATATTCATATGTAGAAGAATGAAAGTAGACCCCTAAATCTTACTGTATTAAAAAATCAATTAAAGATAGATTAAAGACTCAAACATAAGACTTGAAACTATAAAACTAATAGAAAAAAACATATGAGAAATCCTTCAGGACACTGATCTAGGCAAAGATTTTATGGCTAAAACCTCGAAAGCACAGGCAACAAAAACAAATATAAACCAAGGGACTATATTAAACTATATAGCTTCTGCCCAACAAAGGAAACAATCAACAGAGTGAAGAGAAAACCTGTAGAATAGGAGAAAATATTTACAAACTATTCATCAAACAGGGACTAACATGCAGAATATACAAGGAACACAAACAACTCAACAGCAAAAAAGTGATCCCAATAAAAAGTAGGCAAAGGACATAAGTAGACATTTCTCAAAAGAAGACATACAAATGGCCAACAAGTATATTTTAAAATTCTCAACATCACAAATCGGGGAAATGCAAATCAAAAGCACAATGTGATATCATCTCACCACAGTTAGAACGGCCAGTAGCAAAAAGACAAAAGAAAAAAATAGCAAATGATGGAGAGGATGCAGAGTAAAGAGAACTCTTACACACTATTGATGGAATGTAAATTAGTACAGCTATTATGAAAAATAGTGTGGAGATTGCTTGAGACCAAGAGTTCAAGACTAGCCTGCGCAACATCCCAAGACTCTATCTCCTTTAAAAAAAAAAAAAAAAAAAGAAACTAAAAATAAAGCTACCATATGATCCAGCAATCCCACTACTGATACTTATCCAAAGGAAAGAAAATCAGTATATCAAAGGGATACCTGCATCATCATATGTATTAGAGTGCTATTCACAATAACCAAGATACAGAATCAACCTAAGTGTCTAACACTGGACAAATGGATAAGGAAAATATGGTATAAACCAGATGCTACCATACCTAAAGTCCTAGCTACTTGGTAGGCTGAGGCAGGAGGACTGTTTGAGCCCAGGAGTTCAAGGCTAACCTGAGCAATACAGCAACATACGGTCTCTAAAAAAAAAAAAAGAAAGAGTACGTGATGTGTGTGTGTGTATATATATATACATATATATACATGCACATACACGCACACAATGGAATACTATCTACCCATAAAAAAGAATAAAATCCTGTCACTTGTAGCAACATAAATAAAACTGGAGGTCATTATGTTAAATTAAATAAGCCAGGCACTGAAAGACAAATATCCTATGTTCTTACTCACATGTGAGAGCTAAAAAAGTGGATCTCACAGAGGTAGAGAGTAGATGGTGATTACTAGTGGCGATGTGGATGGTGGTATTGAAGAGAGGTAGATTAATGGGTATAAACATGCAGTTAGATAGAATGAATAAGTTCTAGAGTTCAATAGCATAGTAGGGTGACTACAGTTAACAACAATATATTTTATATTTCAAAATAGCCAGAAGATTTGAAATGTTCCCAATAGAAAGAAATGATAAATGTTCAAGGTGAGCGCTATCTTAAATACCCTGATTTGATGATTACACATATTTTATGAATGTATCAAAATATTACATGCATACCATAAATCTGTATATAAATATGTAAAATTATTATGTACCCATTTTTTAGGTAACCAAAAGAAATTGCCACAGTTATCCCAACCTTCAGCCACCACCACCCTGACCAGTCAGTAGCCATCAACATCAAGCCAAGACTCTCCACCAGCAAAAAGATTATGACTTGCTGAAGGCTCAGATGATTATTAGCACTTTTTGCCAATAATGTATTTTTTAATTAAGGTATGTGCATTTTTTTAGAAATAATCTTACCACAACTTATTGGACTACAGTATAGTATATACATAACATTTATACACACTAGGAAGCCAAAAAATTTGTGACTCACTTTCTTGTTTATGTAACAAAAACCCAATCTGAGCAGAAAGGGAGTCCATTATAAAGACCAGAGCTGTTTTAATGCAAGCCAAAGTGGGAATGAAACCAGGTCCCAAGCAGGTATGTAAATCAATCAGGATGTAAATTAAATAAGAGGTCATCAGCAAGAGAATTTAACGAAAAGACTATAGAAATGTGTACAGGTTAACAAACCCAAAAAAGTATGATGAGGTACCAAGAGCAAACAAGAGTGGAAAACAAATATTATGCCTTAGCTTAAAAGGTCAAGTGGAGAGAATGTCACCATAGTCCAACGAGAGCCACAGTCATGAAAAGAGGGTCCTCCCGACAGGCACTGTGGCTGCTGAAAAATGAAGCCACTGCCAAAAATGCAATGGAGCAGAGGAAATAAATACCTTGACTGCTGTCTTCTCTCACCCCCTTAATCCCCTGTGGGTGCACCTACTGTCCAAACCCAATCAGAAGCCAGAAGGCAAAGTAACCCAGATCCACAGAAATCAGCCTCCCAAGGCACACAGAGAAATAGAGAGCAGAGGAGAATGGATCAGTGAGGGGAGAAAGGTGTAAAAGAGAGAAAAATCAGCACAAGATCTGTCACAATCCAAAAATCACTAATTCAGTACAGTCCTTTCTGGGAACACATTCCCTGTAATATACAAAGCATGCATCTGTAACAGAAAATTAGGAAGATAAAAAGGATGGTTACTAAAGATAAGAATAAAAATAAAAAATTTTAATAGAAAACTCTGTAGGCTCAGTAATAACTTATAAGTTGCTTTGTTACCAACTGTTGTACTTGAAAACTCAAAGGAGACATGATCACATTATTCTTAGCTTTTGTAATTCAACTCTGAAGAAATATTTAAAATAATATTGAGGCATATGATATACTGTTACAATATTTAATAATTTGTAAAGAATCCTAATACCATTAAACAGCACTGATACATCTCAATAATAAAAACATACCAGTGTAAAGGAAAATTTTCTCCTCCAAAGCTGTAACAAATATAATTGAAACTGGAAACCGATATCTACTTTTGTGACACTTTTATATCCTTTGATTTGTCCATGATAACAAATTATGAATGCTAATGCTTTTGGGAAAAGTTTAAATAAAAACAAAGATAGTTACACATTAATTTCATAAAAGCTAAAAACACAGAGACTTAAACATAGACAATAGCAAAGCACACTACATTTCTAACAGCTTACCAACTGAGAAATCTACAGATCCACAAGGTAAAACATGAGCCTTGATGACTTCCAAGTTTTCAAGGACAACAAACTTCCTGAACTTAAGAGCTCTCTAAAGAACTTATTTGCCAAATTGCTGTTAGATTCTTTTAAAAAGAATTTTTTTAAAAAAATCCTGCAGCTCAATTTTTAAGAGTGAGGATATTTAATTTTATGTGTCTTTTGAAGAACAGAACTGTGTGTTAGAAGACCACCAAATAATTCAAAGCTGACACAGATTTCAGAAGTTGAATCAGAACAATGACAGGAGAGAGGGCCTTTTTTGGCTATTTTTGTTTGTTTACATGCTTGCTTGTTTTTGGTAGGAGGTGTCAATCATGAATTCTGTTTTAATCATATTCTATTAGAGATACATAAGATACTCTGCACCAGCACAATGCCCGTCAAATAACGGGTCGCAAATAAATATATTTGAATGAACAAATGACAAAAGAAAACTGAGGTAGAAAAGTAAAAGTATTTATGTCAAAGCTACTATAACACAAATAACATATACACAAAACACTAAGAAAGTGGAAATAGTGAACAGAATTCATTAGCCAACCATTGCTTTTGCTAGTTCTCAAAATATGTCTACCTAATGAATATATAATTCTATAGCTCTTTATCATATGAAGTGGGCTGAAACTACAACTACAATATTTTACCTAAGCATTCTTATCTGGACAGTATATGTATATGACAGTATGAAATGAAAACCAGCTTAGAAAACCGGCTTGGAAAGTATAGAACATGCACTATGCTACAGCCTGTGTCCTACATAACCTTTTAAATGCATGACCTTTAAGTTGCTGAAGGTTGCCTCAGAATTTGGCTCAGTTTGATCGAAACATCTGTTCCCCTTGCAGGTATACTGTAAGGACTTTTTTCTCAGTTGGATTCAGAACACAGCAAGTGAGCCCTTGTCTGTCCAATCACACAGACCCCAACACTTGTAAATCAAGTTCTGGGAGGACAACAGCAGGTCCACATTCCGTCACCCTTTCTCAGCCAGCTAGGCCAACTGACTGCTGTGAGAACTGCTCTTATCATGTCATCAAATCAAAACATGTTGAGATGAGGGACTATAAGAGGCATCTGCAGAATTCCCAAAATGTAGTGACTTTGGAACACTGACAGATGCATCTGTCATTTTATACCTTCAACTAACCTGATGTCCACTGGCCCGACACAGTAAAGCTGTCCAAGATCGATTCCAATTCTTTCACGTTATTTTCACATGTCTCTACTAGGAAGGCCTGGTGCTTCTTAGCCTTTTAATTATGAAAAACATTACACATAATAAGGTCATGTATTAAAAGAGCTGCAGGTTTTTAGTGTGAACATATATAACACAATTAAGTATAAACAAGATAATTATTCCATTCAAATCTATTATTAATAAACCATCTTTCTCTCTTAATCATACCTTTTACTTGGCTTAATATAACACTGTACAAGGTATTATTAACAATTTACTGAGGACTTAGTGCCTGGCACTGTTCTAAGTATTTTATATATAATAATTCATTTTATCCTTACAGTAACCCTATGATGGAAAGGCTATTCTTATCCCAATTTTACAGATAAGAAAACTGAGACAGCGGAATTATGGAACACTTAAAAAATCATGACTGCAGTCATATGGCAAGTCGCCAAATGGCAGTCAAAAGTGAAGACAGTTAAGACCAATTTGAAATTACTGCAGCAGTCACATGATAGTAGCTTGGTCTAGGGTATTAACAGTGAAAAGGGAAGCAGAGGTAGAGAATGGAAGCACTGGACAGAGACTTAGAAGGTAGAACAACCACACTTTAGTAAAATTGCAGTAGGTTAGACCACATTGATTGGAATGGATTGAACTGGATTGGATTGGATGAGGAAAAGGGAAGTACTCAGATAAAGAAAAGTTGAGACCGATCCCAAGGTTTAATTTAAGTTAGATGAACTGGATGGATTTCAATAGTTGAATCAGAACAATGATGGGAAAGAGGGCCTTGTTTTGGCTATTTTTGTTTGTTTACTCGCTTGCTTGTTTTTGGCAGGAGATATCAACCATGAATTCTGTTTTAATCATGTTTCATTAGAGATACGTAAGACACTCCGCACCAGCACAACGCCTGTCAAATAACGGGTCGCAAATAAATATATCTGAATAAACAAATGACAAATAAAGTAGAAAAATATGGGAGGTGGCTGAATATAATTAGTATACATCTTAGAAGTAGGGTCAGCTATAGGTTTGGGAATCATCTATAAATACTGTCTGAAACTTGCCTTAAAGTGTTTGATGGGAAATGAAAAGAGCCTAGGACAAGTCTTAAGGAACTCCAGCAATTTAATAACTAGAAAAGAAGTCAGCAAAGAAAACTAAAAAAAGAAGAAGAAAAACAGAAAGGGAATAATGTCATGAAAACCAAGATAAAGGAACATTTCAAGAAGTTCAAGAAGACAGCTGTCAATCATGCCCAATATGACAGAATAGTGAAGCAAAATGGAGACTAAAAGGTGTCTCCTGGGTTTGGAAGTCATTGGTGACCTGGGTGAAATGTTTCACTGTGTTATAATAATTATAACATAGACTGGACTAGGTTAAAGAAGGTTAAGAAGTAAGCCTGAATTTTTTTCTTGAGAGATGTATAAATAGAAACAGGAAGTTTAGACAACTTTTTCTTGGTAAGAAGGAAGGTGAGATAAAGGGTAGTAGTTATAAAGCAGGAAAAGGTCAGAGAAGAGTTTTGTTTTTGTTTAATATATGAGAAACTTAAGCACATTTAAAAGTTGATGTGAAAGGTATGTTGGTAGATACAGAAAAAAAATGGAAGGATATTATATGACAAACTTACATCTGTAAAATATATAAAATTAATCACTCTTTGGTTAGATGTCAGCTCAATTATCACTTTCTCAGAAAAACTGTCCTTTACCTCCCTGACTATATCAATTCTCTATCACATTCATCCAAGCACTTATCACAATTATGATTCACTTTTATTTGAGTTGGTCTTTCATTAATGTGTCCATCTCATAGAATTTAAGGTCCATGAAGGGAGTAAATGTCTCTTTGTTTTTGTCCTCACCAGTGTATCCCCAGTGTTTCCCCTAGGTAAAACCTCGTTTCTAAAATAAGTATTAAGTAGTTAAATTAATTATAGCATGTTATCAACAGAAAAATCTGTTAGGATTCATCCACATAAACTTTTTTTTATTTTCCCTATGTATTTTAGAATCTGCTTGTTAATTTCTGCAAAAAGCCAACTAAAAGTTCAGTGGTGGTACAGTGGTAAACATAGCTGTCTTCCAAAAAGTCAACTGAGATTTTGATAGAGATTATATTAAACCATCAATCTAGGGAGTACTAACATCTTACCAGTATTAAGTCTTACATGAACATGAGATATTTTTCCATTTGTTTTGACCTTGTTTAATTTCTTTCCATGATAAATTACAGTTTTCAAAAGATAAGTTTTATGCTTCTTTTGTCAAATTATTCCTAAGAATTACATTCTTTATTATTTTATTGTCAATAGAATTGTTTCCTTAATTTCATTTTTGAATTGCTCATTGCTAGTTACAGAAATACAACTGCTTTCCTAAGTTGACCATGCATTGTATCCTACAACTCTGCTAAACTCATTTATTAGCTCTAATAATTGTCTCTGTATGTGTGGATTCCTTAGGATTTTCTAATTTATACAGGATTATGTCATCTGCAAAAAGATAATTTACTTCTTCCTTTCCAAAACTGATGCCTTTTATTTCTTCTTCTTGGCTATTGCCATTGGCTAGAACCTCCAGTAAAATGTTGAGCAGACATGGTGAGAGTGTACATCCTTGTCTTATTCCTGATCTTATGGTGAAAGTATTAAGTCTTTCACCATTAACTGTGATGTCAGATGTAGGTTTTCCATAGATGCTCTTCATCAGGTTGAGTAGAAGGTTTCCTTCTATTGCTAGTTTGTTGAGCATTTTTACCATAAAAGGATGCTGCATTTTATCAAATGTTTTTCTGTGTCTATTGAGATAATCATCTGGCTTCTGTAATTTATTACATTAGTTGATTTTCAGGAGTTAAACCAGTATTACATTCCTGAGATAAATCTTACTTTATCATGGTGTAATATCTTTTTTATATCTTGCTGGATTGCTTGCTAGTACAGTTTTCAGAATTTGGGCATCTATATTCAAAAGGAATACTAGTCGGTAGTTTTTTTTTTGCTTTTAGTATATTTGGCTTTTATATCAAGGTAATAATACTGACTTCACAGAATGATATGGGAAGTGTTATCTCCTCTTCTATTTTTGCAAAAATTATGAAGAATTGGTGGTAACTGTTCTGAAACATTTAAATGAATTTATCAGTAAAGCTGTCTAGGCCTGGGCTTTTCTTTGTCAGAGTTTTTTGATTACTAATTCAATCTCTTTTGATTTTTTTTGTATTTGATATTCTAAGACACCATGCTACAGCATTGACTTTCTGTTTCTTCTTAACCAGTTTTGGTAATTTGTATCTTTCTAGAAATTTGTCCATTTTAAATTACCTAACTTATTGGTATACAGTTTTTCAGAGTATTCTCTTACAATTATTTCCATTTCTGCATGGTCAGTAGTTATATTCCCCTTTTGTTCATGATTTCAATAATTTGAATCTCTTCTCTTTTTTTGATGAGTGTAGCTAAGTGTTATGAATTTAGTTATCTTTTCAAAGAATCATCTTTTGATTTCATTGATTTTCTCTATTTTTTTATTTCCTTGTTAGTCTTTACTGTTTCTATTCTTCCACTTGTTTTTGGGTTTAGTTTGCTCCTTTTTTCATTTCTTACAGTGAAATGTTAGGTTATTGATTTGAGGATTTTTTTTTTAAAGATGGGGGTCTCACTATGTTGCCCAGGCTAGTCTCAAACTCTTGGACTCAAGAAATCCTCCCACCTCAGCCTTCCAAGTAGCTGTGACTACAGGTTTGCACCACCATGCTCCACTATTTTTTTTTTAATATAGATGATTATAAGTTTCCCTCTTAAGCATGATGTTAGCTGCATCCTACAAAGTTTGGTATGTTGTCTTTTTATTTCACTCATCTCGAAGTGTTTTCTAATTCCCTTGTGATTTCTTCTAGACTCATTGGCTATTTAGGAGTGTGTTGTCTAATTTTCACATATTTGTAAATATTTCCTCTGTTGTCTTCTGTTATCAATTTCTAATATAATTTCATTATGGTCAGAGAAGATACTTTGTATGATTTCAATCATTTTAAATTCATTGAGGCTCGTTTCATGGCCTAACATATGATCTATCCACAAGAATATTTCATGTACACTTCAGAAGAATGTGTGTTCTCTTGCTAATGGGTGTGGTGTTCTACAGATATATGTAAGGTCTAATTTATTTACAGTACTGTTGAGTCTTCTATTTATTTATTGATATTCTTCCTCATTCTACCCATTACTGAAAGGGGGGTACTGAAGTCCCCCAATATTATTGTTGTCTATTTCTCCCTTCAATAATGTCAGGTTTTGCTTCAAATAGTTTGGAGATCTGTTATTAGGTGTATACCTGTTTATAATTGTTAGATCTTTCTAGTGGATTGACCCTTTTAACAATATGAGATGTCCCTCTTTATCTCCAGTAACATTTTTATTCTAAAGTCTATTTTGTCTGTCATCAGTATATTCACTCCGGTTCTTTTTTTTAATCAGGCGCATGGTATTCTTTTTTCCATCCTCTGCTATTTTGAAACATTTAACATATTTAATGCTTGTCAAAAACCCTGCATGACTGAGACTGTTAGCACCATTTTACAAATGGGCAAATGGATCCAGAGAAAGAATATCACTAAAGTCACACAATTAAAATGAGATAGGCCTGGGATTAAAACGCAGATCAATATGCCTCCAAAATTTATGTTCTTTTTATTATGCCAGCTGACTGAAGTGAAGTCCCCATCAATATCAAGGTATAAACATTTACGGGAATATATATATATAGAAAGCCAGATAAACTGCATACTTGGAGTGAGCTTAATATAAAGATTCAATTCAACTCTTAGTTCAACAATAACTCTCTTTCAAGTATAGGGCTCAATCTTAACCAAAATATGAGCTAATATTTTCACACCGTTATAATATAAGATCAAAATTAAGGTCAAATTAGGCAGAAAAGATTGAATAGTGTAAAATTTTTCAAAGAACAAAGAAGAGATTTACTCACTCATCAGGCTTAAAAAGATGTTCATCTACCTGAAAATTACTATTACATTTATAATTATTAATATAAT